TCGTGCACCGTGCATCGTGCGTGCACGATGCATGCATCGCCTCCGCGCCGTGCATAGTGCGGAATCACCGTGAAAAATGCTAACTGGATATGTTCCATGGCCGCAGCGCAGCACCGGAGGCCGCGGCGCGGACTTCGATGAGCGCAAGGTGGATGAGCGCGGCCACAACCTCCAGTCGTGGGAGGTTTCCTCTCATATCAGTGATACAATATGTCATCATGTCATCCATACTCGTGGCCCTGCTCACATTCCTGTGCCAGGATGTCGTCTTCGGCAAAGCTATTAACTCTTTCGCGGTAAGTTCGTTAAGTTAGTTTAATGTCCACTGAACTTTGGACTACGTCATAACACGGTGTTTTCACTGTAACATTTTACTTTGTACTCTGAAATCACAGTGAGTTTAACACGACAATTTCGAATCTCTTATTCGTATAGGGCCCTTACATATTTTATGCCGAGCGCATTTACATGTGTGAAAACAACGCGGAAATGGCTTGGAGATGGCATTTTCGGGCCAGTCACTTCAACCCACAAAAACCAAGGGAATTACAACGCCTGACCGGTAACTTGACGGGTGTTAATGTAACCATTGATGACAGCTTAGGGGTAAGATATTTCTGTTAGATATTCTTTTATACCTATCGTAAAACTAAGAAGACGATAGTAAAAATGTTGGATTGAGGTACGATGAAATGTATCAGTATCAATATTCATTATAACAGGCTAAAATTTTACTGGATATTTGGGCACAAAACCAATGGAAGGAGAACGCCTTTCTCTTCTCATTTAAAGACAAGGCATGTACATTGATAAGAGTACTCGCCCCTACCTTTTACGGGCAAATTTTAAAGCAGAAAGAAACTAAAGGCGATTGCATACTAAAACCGGTAAGTACTGAAATCGCAACTCCTTTATGGTTCGATGGTTATCTTTTCCGAGTAATTTATGTCGAAGAGCCAAAACTGTTGTGTAACGGCTTCAAACACAAAAGAATTAGATCGGTAAAAGCTGTGATCACTTCTATTTACAGGGGATTTACGAGGCCAATGACACCCCAGTGGAATGGGTATTTCCAAAAGTACCAATCATGCCTTATGGACGCTATAGGATGAAAATATTGTTGGGCACGGCCCCAAAACTATACGGATGCTTCACAGCAGTAGCTACGATGATTCCGAAAGTCTAGTAACATTAGCATGTTGTATGATTATGTTTGTTATTGTATCACGGGGATTTAAAAGAGTGTGAAGTACTTAAGTCCTCTGACTTGACTTTGACAGCACACATTAGTCACAAATAGGCGCAAGTATCACGAACGTTTAAGCTTGATGTTGTGATGGTTTTACGAAATTGTTAAAACCAGAGTGGATGAAACCAAGAGACTCTTGCTGAAACCCAACCACGAAGAAGCGAACAAGCGCGGGGACACTCGCGTGCGTCGGGCGGGTTTGGGGTTTCGAACGCAGTGGCACCACAAGGGCTCTCGTCTCCAACCCGTGTAGAGAGGAAGGGGGTGGGGGAGGTGGAGGGCCCAGCTAAGCACAGCCGACGGCCTTGGGATTGAAATCCAATAGGGTGGTGCACAAGTAGATCAGCGGACAGGTCTGCTCGGGGGAGGGGGGGGGAGGGGCTGCGCTGCGCCCTTGCAAGGCGTTCGACGGCTGCGTTGCCCTACATCGCTCTGCGAGTCGTTCTGAGCTGGCTGACTCCCCCGCACTTGTGTCCGTCTCTCTGTCTCGCTCACACGCCCGCACTTGGGGCGTTATTTTGCACTGCTGCTATAAATGCTCTTGTCGGGGAAAACGATGATCCCGCGCAGCTCCCGCGTGTGTTCGGGGCTGGTCGCCTAATGCACCGACCCTATGAGTGTGTGTGATGGAGTAGTGGGCCCAGAAATTCACAGCCCCATCGGGTACCTGCCCGCTCATCCTTTTATTCACCTCGGGACTTTAGTGTAGCTGGTCGTATTCTCTTCGGGGGAAAAATACCAATTTAAGAAGGCCTATCTGAGTATCGCTTCAGGTCCCTACCCTTACCCTAGCGCCAGAGAAATTGTTTTATGGTCTGCGCCTGGTTTTCTGACATTACCGAGAGTAAAAGCTAGCTGACACCTTAAAGTTGTACTTATATATTCTTTATGGCCAGTCAAAAGGTTTTTAAGGTATCATCTGCTAAAAAATAAGAAGAAATTACCGGTGCAAAAATGGCATGGGCAGTACTACTTGGATGACTTGAGTGATATGCAATGACTGTTTCTTTCCCTTTTGGGTCTCCGCAGACGAGGTACCCGCAGCACGGCGTACGGTACCCGACGGCACCCATAAGTCTCCTGCTGCCACCTGCTGCCCGCTCCGCCCGCTCCTCTCTCATCTCCGGTGCGCTCGCGAGCGCCAGAGCGTCGCCCGCAGTGACCACAGTGAGAGTGCGAGAGTGCGAGAGTGCGCGGGGCGGGGCGGGCGCTGCCCTCTGC